GGGGGTACATTAAAGAAATGCACTGTATGTAATTGTTGATGTAAAATGAATATATATATTATCTTTAAATCGAGCGTTTGTATAAAATTTTTAGATTATTTCAAATAGGGACGACTGGCTAAAGAAGAAAACTCATGTTTAGACCCTAAAAAATATGTACCGCGGAATATTTCGAGAAAAAACTCACTTATCTATGGCTTCCCTCATTCCTGATAATAATGCTCTGCGAAACCAATCACATCTGGCAGCTACAATTACTCTATGTGATTTTATGTTGTAACCTTCAACTGGAGTTGCAGCCTCGTTAGAGTTTTCACTCTGTTCCAGATTATTGCAAATTATCTCAAATTCCATATCAGTTTTCTTCTGGGCATTCAGTAACTGCAGGCACAATTGTGATAGAGAACTACTGTTTGCATCTTTGGGTGAACATAAAGACTTCACTAAATTGAGCTACAAAAAATCAATAATAATATAATTACCATTAGTCAGATGTTATCATTGGATAAAAATTAAGTATGGTTGACAAAAATTGAAACATAAATATTCCCTGATAATGAAAGTCCTGCGAATTTCAATATTTTTTTTTGTTTTGTGTAAGATCTCGCCCATACAGTTACCGCCATCAGCACACATTAACTACAGCTACCGGACTGAGTCATGGTCGGTGGGGGAAATCGTATCTGTCGTATGTTTATGCAATTTACTTTTAAAATCCATCAATAACTGAATACGGTCCTGAATTTGGATATTTACGGCTTGAATAATCTAACAGACTGATAACAGATTTCTACACATCTACTGCACATCTTGAGGGAGGGGCTTCTTAACGGCGTTGATTCAGTCCGGCAGCTGTACGCTTGGAAGGATTCGGGAACACGCAAATTGTGAGGGAGCTAATTCGATCTGTGAGAATGCTTGAATCGGTATAATAACAGTATTGAAAATTTTACGAATTGATGGTTTTGGCGACAAAAAAAATACCCAGTTTTATTAAAGATATTTAGATTATCAACATTTTCGATAAAATAAGTATAAGAACTTCAATCTGCCATGTAAACAGGATCACCAATCAAAGTGAATAACATCACGCGTTAGTAAATATTTTGGTGTTTATAGAATCCGTGGACTGTGTTGCTCAAACTCTGCAGTTTGGTGATGATGACAAAGCTTTTCAGCTTCCTAAAAGAATTTTTTCACTATCAACGCTGGTGTACCCCAGGGATCCATATTGTCTCCAACCCTCTTTTTATTGTATTTCAACGACTTATTGGAAAAAAACAAGAATCCAATATATTGCTTTGCTGACGACAGCACACTTGTCTTGTCATTCCATTTGGATTCCAGGATTTCGGCTACAGAGGCACACCTTCACCAACAGCAAGAGGTTGCATATCCTAATGAGGGTCTAGAAGTGATTTCGAATTGGGATGAAAGTAACCAGGTTCAATGCAATGCCACAAAAACCCGGGTATTGGTTTTCTCCAAGAAGAAAAATGTCTCCAAACCGGATATAATAATGTCATATCAGACAATTCCGCTTTCTGCTTTGATAAGTTTTTGCGGGTTAAAATGGACACCAATATGTCTCGGCACAATCATGTCACTGGATTTGTGTGTGTGTGTGTGGTTTAAATTTTTTGGCTTTGGGAGAACCAATTAGCCAGACTGTTTTAATAAAAAACTATTTGAAAGTAACATTGAGTAGTAGCTCAAACATAGA